TGTGTACCCCGACTGTTGTTGCGATATCCCTTTGCGTCATGATGCCTATCGGCATTCTCACAACATTTTCACGTGTGTTTATGAGCACTCGAGGAGGCATAAAAATGAATGCGCGCCCGCTGGTCAAAGAAAGTGTGACTACCCAGCTACATAGGCTATATAGACGACGAGAGCAACAACACAGTTGATAATACAAAACACCAAGCGGAAACGCTGTCTATTCTCCGCTTCACTTTGTTTTGTACCGCAGCCGACGCTACGTGTTCTCTTGGCCAGTCCACCACTAAAATGTGTGTCACGTGTCCTACCGTTCGGTACAACTGCACGTGGAAGCACGATGTCACGGGACGGGGTGAAAGCACTGGATTGGTTTTGACGGCTCGTAGCATTTGGTGGGGGTATAGTTTAATGCATCGTTGCATTCAGTTTGTCGCGTCACCATATTTTTCATTTCAGTCGGTGTTCACAAAATAAACGCCAAGAAAAAAATGAAAACAAAAAGCTCGAGGTACACCTCAGCATTTCTTATGAGTTGTGAATGCAAGAGTATGCAAGCCGCTCGTCCGCTCCCTTTGTCGTCTGCTGATTATTAGCGCGCGCGCGCTTCGGGACCTTGGAGGCCATGGCGCAGCGGCCAATGGGAGCCCCGTCGACGCGCGTCAGCCAATGGAACCGAAGGCGATCGCGGAAACTAGGAACCGTTTTTGTGCTACAAACTGATGACGTTAGCTCGCTCCACGAGACAGTTAATGCATTAAAAATTAAACTCAAGATGACACGCGTTTTATGCCACGCCTGAGCAGTATCACGCAAGCAAGCGCTCTTGAGATCTTTGCTTAAAGGCTGTTAGCTACGCCAGCAGATAATCAACAGGGGCTGTGTGCGGTCAACCGAATAGCCTAGTAGACGACGCTCTCACAGGAAAGAGCTTTGTGCGCACGTGCCTAATCACTCCCGTGTCGCCACATCCCTCCGCGGCACCGCGCTGGCGGCCCCGGCGGTCGACGCTCGCTTGATATTATTAAAAGCTTGGGACACTGTACATCGCGTGTCACACGGGTTCAAAAGTGCCGCCTCGCGATACGGGGTAGACGTAATGCTCCTGAAACAGAAAGGTAGCGACATCTCCCTCCTCCTCTGACGCGCACACATTTTATCTTTATGTTTTGCTTTTTTACACCAGCACTTCGACTGTAGCGGCGCCTGGATCGGCCCAAGATAGCAGACGTCCTTCCTATACGTAAGTCAGAGCGCAGTCAAAGGCTGAAAGACACGCGCAAATACATACACACAGGCTAAAAGCACACGGTCGCGGTCTACCAGCCGCGAAGGTTGTGCTCAAAGAAAAACGATGAAAGCCGGGACGTTTCACAGTCGGCGTTATTTGATTGGCGACATGAGCTCATAGCACGCACTGCGTCAGCAGAGGCATTCCTTCTTCCTCTTCCTCTGACGCGCACACTTTTATCTTTGCTCCGCTTTTTTACACCCGCGCGTCGACTGTACACTCTAAGAAAAAAAGGGTGTAGGCGGGTGCATCAGGCGCTCATGCACCCTTTGCCTGAAAGACGCACCCTCCGTTGAGCAGCCAGTGTGCTTGTACACCGACAATGAGCATCCCCCTCTCCCTTAAAAACATCTGGGTGTACCAATGCACCGCCACGCTAGCCACGCGCCCCGATCAGCTTGTGCTTGGATTCCCCCGTGGAGGTCACTTTTTGGGTTGGGCGGTTTCTTAGGAAGTATGGAGCTATCCTGTTCCCTCGGTATTGACAGTAGAGTGGACGCTATGCTTGTTTTAGGCCAATCGGGTCTCCGGGTAGGATCACATGACTACAGTCTCCAAGCTAAAGATAAGGCAGAGCACGGCACCTGCCTGAAGGCCAAGGCCACGGATAGCATCCACTGCACTATTAACTTTGGGTCGAACTTTCAAGAGGATATAAGCGACAAATCCTTTCATTGTTGGGTTGCCCCTGAAGATAAGCCTTTGCGAGGCTTATCTTCATTATCCCTTTTGGCCTTGAAGGAGCTGCAATTTTCAGACTCATTCCTTTTTCTTTCTCTCCCTAAGCTGAAAGCATGGAAGAAGGCGCGCAGTTGCCGGACCAATGAAGCGGAGGCTTTTTTTATGCCTCGACTTCTCTGTCTGAGCGCGGATAACGGCAGGAGCGTGATCATGTGGTAGAGGTTTCACGGATGACGTAGTAGCTTTTTTCGACCTCGGAATGCCTGCTTCCCGGCATAGGTAGTTGCTTGTGTGCTGTGCTGCGACCAGCGGGGCTGCCGTAGATTTCGCCCGCGACAACGTATTCGAGTGTACCAAGATTTCCAGTGTTTGAAAAGTCCTACGCGTATATCGGCAACAGGGGATTTCTTCAAA